GTGGTACAGTGAGCTCAATGAGGTGCGTCGATCTCGCCTTGGTTGACCACACCACTATGTCTGGCCGGAGAGATGTGGTGGTTATCTCCGTGGGGAACCGGAGCTGCTTATCTAGGTCAACCCTCATGTCCCACTCCTGGTTGGGGGAGAAGAGCCTTGCTGTTTCTCTTGATCTGGTGCTTCTCCTTACCCCTCCTTCCGACACAAAGATGGTGGGGTCCTCTGCTGATGGTGGTTGGTTGCCACCCTGTCGACACTCCTCAAGTACTTCGGCTAGCTTTCTCAGGACCTGATCGTGGCGCCATCTGTAGCGTCCCTGTGAGAGAGCGATCTTACAGCCTGCCAAGATGTGCTGGAGACTTGCGTTGGGAGCATTGCAGAGTACGCAGGATTCTTCATTTCCAAACCACTGGTGGAGGTTCCGAGGGCAGGGAAGCGTGTCGTAGGTTGAACGAATAAGGAAACTAAGTCTTGCCTGTGGGATCTTCCACACGTCTGACCAACTGATGTTCCGGTTCATGATTCCCTCCCAGGTTGTCCAGCTTCCTTGTCGACCCTGCGCCACGGCCTTGATTTTGTAGCGATCTTCCTCCATCCTCGTCACCTCTGCTACCACCATCTCCTTCCTTTGCTTGCGATTGGCCTTGGACCAAAAGCGTGGCGTCTCTCCCCATCCTAGACCTGCTCTTCCTACCTGAACTCTGCCCATGATCTCCCGGTGTTGTAGCCGACCGACAGCTTGATCGACCTCGGTTTGGGCATTCCACTTGCGGCCAGTAGGAACCTTGGCATTTGCGTTCTTTACTGACTCGTCTGTGGACTCCCTCAGCTCGAGAACCAACCTGGTCTTTTCTTGCATGTAGCCCAACTGTATGGACTGCAGTGGCAGCTGCAGCATGTTTTTTCCAAATAGACCGGTTTCAGATAGGCACCGTGGCAACCCCAACCACTTTCGGATGAATGAGTTGGCTTTTCCATCCATCTTACTTACAGTTGATGAGGGAATCTCACTCATTTTCAGGGGCCACATCACCCTCCTGTAGAGTGTAAACTGGTAGCACCAGACCTTAAACTTCCCAGGGAGTTGGCTTTGGTCGATCCTTGCCAGTCCGTCGGAGAGCTGCTTCATGACGGTTTTCCCCATCTGTTTGTCAGATAGGTCTGCAGTGTACTGCCTCCCCAGGCTTTTGATCGGTTGCTCTGATAGAAGTGGGATTTTTTCCCCTCCAATGACGAAGATGGTATTGTCATTTCTGACTCCTCTCCTGAGGGACAAGCTCCGAGACTTGGAGGGCTTGATCTTCATTCTTGCCCATGACATCAATTCGTCCATCCTCTTCAGCAGTCTTGATGTGCATGCTGCTGTCTGAAGGAGGCTGGTGACATCATCCATGTAACTCCTCAGTGGGGGAAGCCTCTTGCCAGTTGGCAGTTTGATCCCCCCAACCATTTGCCTTGCCCCGATGAGGATTATCTCAAAGGCTGCTACAAACAGTATTGGAGAAATAGTACACCCCATCGCAATTCCTACTTCGAGCCGCTGCCATCCGGTGGTGAAGTCCTGGAGGGAAAAACACATCTGCAAGTTGCTATAGTACTGAGCTACCAGGCTCTTGACGCAGGTGGGCATGTGGAAGAATTCCATGGCATAGTTGACCAGCTGATGCGGAACTGATCCGTACGCGTTGGCAAGGTCAAGCCAGATGACATGCAGGTCGGTCTTCTCCCGCTTGGCCTTCTGGATCTGGTCCCAGATCATAGTGGAGTGCTCTACACATCCTGGGAAACCTGGAACTCCTGCCTTCTGGCAGTTGGTGTCAACATAGCCATTCTCGAGCAGATAGTTAGTCATCCTCCTGGCTAGCACTGAGAAGAAGATCTTTCCTTCTACATTCAGTAGTGCAATGTTCCGGAATTGGCTGATGTCTTTGGAGTTCGTTTCCTTAGGTATGAAGACTGCTACCGCTCTTTGCCACTCAAATGGAATTATTTGCTTTTTCCAGGCAGTTCTCATCAGATACCATAGTAGCTCTAGTACCTTGGGGCAGTTCTTATAAAGCTTGTAGGGGACCCCATTGGGACCAGGTGCGGAAGAGGACCTTGCCTTCTCCACGACTTGCCTGACTTCGCTGAGCTTGAGGGGCATGATGTTGAACTCAACTGTTGGCTTTGCCGGCTGGGGCACGTATCCTGGAGTTCCTAAAGGGACGCTCCTTTGTGGATCACTGTACTGCTCTTTGACATACTGCTCCAGTTTCTCCTTGGTGGTTTCGAGCCTGCCACTCTTCTTTTCCTCCAATAGTTGTCTGGCATGCTTGAAGGGATCCTTGAAGAAGTTGGCTCGCTCTCTCTGCTTCCGCTGGTTGCGCTTGCGGATGCGTTCAGCTCTGCGAAGCCCGGCTAGCCTTTTCCGGACCTCCTCCCACAGGACTTTCAGACCCTCTCTCTCTGCGTGGGTTGCCTTCCTCCAGTTCTTGCGGAGTTGCCGACGCCTTTGCACAAGTTGGAGGATTTCCCTTTCCCTCCTTCCCTTCTCTCTCCTGGCGGTCCTCTGTTTGGGGACAATTTCGCCAAACTTGTCTTTGCAGGTCTGGTATATTATGTCTCCAATCAGGTTAAGCTTAGTCTCGCCCCCTCCTCGCAGTGATCCCTCTAGGGTCTTGATCAGGTCCAAGTCCAAATTGCGCCATGCCTCTGCTTCATTTGACTTCGGCCACTTCAGCTTACTCCTTCTGGCTGGTTCTTTGGTCTCTTCATTTGGCTCTGTTCTGTCTAACGTGTTGGGGACTGGGTCTTCATGCACACGTGGAGGCTCAGCCTCCACCAGGGGACCTTCCTCTGTGACTCTCATGCCTTCAGCAACGTTAGGTCCTTCGGCTCTGTGGTTTTTTCCCTGGCTTTTGGTCCTTCTTGTCTCACCTGCTAACGCAGTGCAAGGTTGCTGTTGGCCTTTCTGTCCACACTTCGCTTTCCCCTGATGAATCCGTAAGCCCCTAAACGTGGTCACTTTCTCCCATCCACATGCACACTTTCTGAGGATCTTCTCCTCGTTTACTGGAGTTCTGGTGTTCTCGTTGTCCATGTTCGTTGCCGTCGTCACCGTGTGGTCTGTCCTGTTGGGCCCATCTTTCATCCCACCTCTCGGAGGGCCCGCGGGTTGTTTCTCGTTACGTTTCTTTGTAGTTAGGTTTGGGTGTCTCTCTCGCAAAAGACTAGTGGGTTAGGTAACTAGCCACCCACTCCCGGTGCGGTCTTTCCCTGCTGCCATCCAGTCTTTCCTGGCTGTCCTCCAGTCTTCCCTGGACTCCAACTGCCCTATTCACAGTAGTCACTGGGTTCGCCAGAACTTCAGTAATTGCACAGGAAGATGTTACCACCTGCTGGGCATTGCTGCCTGTCGCACCTCCTCCAGTGCCCATGGGTCAGCTGCAGGGTCATCAGCCAGAAACCACCGTTCACCGACGTTTCGCTCCTTTAATTCTGGAACGTCTCCAGGTGGCGGAGCAGTGACAGGGACGTCTCCCTGTCACCCCCTGCAGCTGATAGCTGTTTACAATAATAATAATATTATTGTACTATTCAAAAATAATAATATTAAATAATATTGTACTATTCAAATTACTTTACACATACTTTTTTAAATACCACTGTTTTGGGGATGTTTACCATAGTAATACCGTGTTTTTTGGACGAGGTACAATCTTAATACTATTTTACGAAACTGTTGCACCATTATATTCTTTGAAGTATCTTAGACTATCATGTAAATACCATGGTTAATAATGGTAATTAATTATGGAGTACAATAGTTTTAACTGATACCATCATTTTATCATGGTAATGCCACAGTACTTTTTTGTTATAGGTGTTTTGTGCTTTCAAATTGTACATAAATAACTTCACATTAGTGTCAATAAATTTCAAACAACTGGTTAAAGTTGAATTTCATGTGCAACACAGAACAAACATATTTTTTACTTCATTTTCTTCTGAACAATGTGTATTTTCTCTCATATGTAAGTGGTTTTGTGTGGAAGCTTGTTTCCGCCACTGAAGAAAAATAAATAAATAATAATTTCTACTTTTTATCTCACAATTGCGAGATATGAAGTCAGAATTGTGAGAAATAAAGTCGCAATTCTGAGAAATAAAGTCGCAATTGCGAGATATAAAGTCGCAATTCTGAGAAATAAAGTCGCAATTCTGAGAAATAAAGTCGCAATTGCGAGATATAAAGTCGCAATTCTGAGAAATAAAGTCACAATTGCAAGAAAGAAAGACAGAATTGAGACTTTTTATCTCGCAATTCTGACTTTATAACACATAATTGCGAGTTTATATCTCGAAATTCTGACATATTTTCTCAGAATTGTGAGATATAAACTCGCAATTGCGAGTTATCAGGCCAATTCTAAGGGAAAAAAAAGACTAACTTTTTTCCCCTCAGAATAGTTTATATCTCACAATTCTGACTTCATAACACGCAATTGCGACTTTATTTCACGCAATTTCGACTTTATATCAATCAATTCTGACTTTATATCTCGTAATTCTGACTTTATATCAATCAATTCTGACTTTATAACACGCAATTCTGACTTTATATCAATCAATTCTGACTTTATATCTCGTAATTCTGACTTTATAACACGCAATTTCGACTTTATATCAATCAATTCTGACTTTATATCTCGTAATTCTGACTTTATAACATGCAATTGCGACTTTATATCAATCAATTCTGACTTTATAACATGCAATTGCGACTTTATTTCACGCAATTCTGACTTTATAACACGCAATTCTGACTTTGTTTCACGCAATTCTGACTTTCAGTCACAATTACCTTTTTTATTTTTTTATTCTGTGGCGGAAACAAGCTTCCATAGTTTTGGGCACATCAAATGAAAGGAATAAATATAAAAGTTTTTATCTCAGCTGTTTATGGTTGTTTAATGTTCTCTGTGTGTGTGTTTGTGTGTGTGTGTGTGTGTGTGCAGGCTGGAGCTTCAGTATGGGTTCAGCGTATCAGTTCCACAGTTGGCGTGTGTTTGTGGTGGTCTGCGCGCTGCCCTGCGTCTCTGCGGTCGTTGCGCTCACGTTCATGCCGGAGAGTCCACGCTTCTACCTGGAGGTAATGAAAGTCTGCATGATCACATGTGTGCCAAACTGTGTGATTTTAGTGTTATTTAAAAGAATAGTTCACCCTAAAATGAAAAGTCACCCTCAACACCCTTTACTCACCCTGGTGTTGTTCTAATGCTGTATGCCCTTCTTTTCTTTTATGGACCTCAAAAGGATCATTTGTTAAAAATTTTAATAGAACGGTCGTTCCCTCGCAAAGATATTTGCGCTCCCGAGCAAAACCTGTTGGGATTTCGGACAGACACTTCCTGTTTAATGTCCCGCTGGCAGTGTTTCAGAGCTCCGTACGTTAATGGAGCGTTTCATAGTGTTTGAACTTGGACTCAAATATAAAGAAATGCGGTCAGTGCTTAACTCAAGCAGTTCAGTGAAGTTGGCAATATATTCACATCCTATTCGAACTTCCTGGATCGATATTCTTGAGCTAAACGTTGTTAAAACACAAACGACACCTATTTACAATCACAGTAACCTAGACAACGAGCTACAACCCAATTCTCCTCAAAACGAGCTTTATAATAGGCTAAATGTCTATCTGCTTGTCTGAGAGACAAGTCCGAAGGGACCATCCGACTCGCACAGAAAACACACACACACACACACACACGCTGTGAGAAATCAAGATGAACAAAATCTTAGTTTGAACCGCGAGAGGCGTCTCCTCTCACCTAAGCTAACGCTACGCCTACATCCTACGTCATGCGCCAGAACTCGACTCTCTAGTGAACGCGCGGATATCCATTACTGGAAACTGGTGATTATAGCTTAGAAAGTTATAATTATGGATATTTTCCTTACAAAAACGCTTGGCTTCGCTTCAGAAGGCCTTCATAACCCCCTGGTTAATGAACTTTTATGATGGATGGATGCGCTTTTTGGGCTTTAAAAAAATGGTACCGTTCACTCCCATGATAAAGTTGGGAAGAGCCAGGATATTTTTTAATATAACCTCTGATTGTGTTTGGCTGGAAGAAGAATGTCATATACACCTAGGATGGCTTGAGGATGAGGAAATCATGGGATAATTTGGGGAAATTCATGGGAAAACAAAGAACATGAAGGGAAGGAATACAGCTGACCAATTTAAAGGGCAAAAGAACTACAAAATAGAAACAGGAAACTAAATCAAACTAAACATAAAAGTCCAAACGAGAAACAACAACATGTGACAATTGTAGTTTTCATCACTGAACTATTATTTAAATCTGAGGAAAACAGTCGGGGATAAAAATAATTAATAGTGTTTGCCTGCTAAATGTAAACTGTATTATCACACAGCTCTATATATAAAGTTTGATGTATGTCTAACTTTATCCGCATTCCAGTATATTCACGTGAAGCGATACTACTGTATATAGTGTTATATGTTTATATCGTCACAAAATGTAACTAATTATCGGCCAGCTCTAATCTGCTAAATGTGACTATAAGGCATGAAGATATTCATGATTTTCTGTAAAGCTGCTTTGAAACAATGTGTTCTGTGAAAAGCGCTATACAACTAAATATGACTTGAGGTTGTTTTTTATCTGTGCACACTCTCGTCTACAGATGGGAAAACATGACGAGGCGTGGATGGTGCTCAAACAGATTCATGACACTAACATGCGTGCGCGCGGAGAGCCGGAGAAAGTCTTCACTGTGAGTCACACACACTCCCGTCCTCTCTCACACATCAACACACACACACTCCACCAGCAGTGGTTAACGAGACCGGCCACAGCTAACCAGCTTGACCCTTGACCCCACTCACTCAAACCGTTGCACTGGGAACGTCACGTCTCTCTGTCTCCACCTGCAGGTGAACCGGATCAAGATCCCGAAACACCTGGATGAGCTGGTGGAGATGCAGTCGGAGTCGGCAAACCCTGTGCTCAAAGTCTTATTCCGGATCAAGTGTGAACTGCACGGAGTGAGTGAACGAACCCTCAGATCTCCTGTACACACACACACACCATGTGCCAGGGGATTCATTAATGCAGACTGTGTTTCTAAGGCAGTTTACACCAGCTTTTAAACGTTTGGGGTCAGAAAGATTTTTAAATCCTTCTAAAAGAAGTCTCTTCTGCTCACTGAGGCTGCATTTATTTGATGAGAAATACAGTATAAACAGTAATATTATGAAATTCATTTAAAAATGTAATTCCTGTGATCAAAGCTGAAGTTTCAGCATCATTACTCCAGTCTTCAGTGTCACATGACCCTTCAGAAATCACTCTAATATGATGATTTGCTGCTCAGGAAATTTATATATATGTAGGCTGACATCTGAATCAACCTAATCTGAATCAACTTAATCTGGATCAACTTAATTTGAATCAACTTAATCTGGATCAACTTTATTGGCCAAGTATGCAAAACATACAAGGAAGGAATTTGTCACGGGTATAAGGCGTCCCACGCCACACGTATATGCAATGTACCGTATTATAATAGTTGCAGATACCAAATACAGTGCTTAGCAGACAACAACACACCAACAGCAAACATTATTCATCTTTGCCTTTGCATTTCTTAACTGTGTGATGAAATGAACTCATATTGTACATAAATCACAGGTGTTTTATTTGCACTTTAGGCATTACTTGACTGTGTGTGTGTGTGTGTGTGTGTGTGTGTGTGTGTGTGTGTGTGTGCAGATCTGGCTCACGTTCATGAAGTGCTGGGATTACCCCGTCAGGGACAACACTGTGAAGTTGGCCATCGTGTGGTTCTCGCTGTCGTTTGGGTGAGACCGTTTGGCTCTAATATCCACTGTCTGATTGGCCCGATCGTCCCCTGATTCACGACCCCTGTAGTTACACACATTATCACCCAGCGGAGCCGTGATTATAGTGATCACACAGTGTTTGCATAGCATTTAGAGTACAATATCATCAGATTCTATTCTATTCTATTCTATTCTATTCTGTTCTATTTGTGTGTCTCAGTCTTGTTCTGCTCCTCTCTGGCACTGTGATGAAGTGTAGTCTCTATAATCACCATGTTTTAAGTAGCTGACTTGCAGTGACTAGGCCCAGGGGTGGAGCTGCATGAGGGGGACTAGTCTCAGTTTAATTACTGTATTTATTGAAGCTTAAGCCTGGATGGATGGGCTCAGAGACAGAGCTCTGTAGGAGGGCTTATATCCACACTCTTATGCATGTAACAATCCAATTTACTCATGAAATCACACTAAAAACTCCTCTGGCCTGGCTATTCCTGGACATTCTATTCTATTCTGATCTATTCTATTCTATTCTATTCTATTCCATTCTATTCTATTCTATTCTATTCTATTCTATTCTATTCTATTCTATTCTATTCTATTCTATTCTATTCTATTCCAGTCCATTCCATTTCATTCCATTCCCTTCTATTCTATTCTATTCTGTTCTGTTCTGTTCTGTTCTGTTCTAAAAACCAATAGTGCCAGCTCTAAAAACAGATTGGAAACTCTAACCGTAACTCTATAGTAAGTACATGTAGTTAATTAATATTACTCAGTACTTATTTGAGTAAGTAAATGTAACTGTCACCTTAAAATAATGTGTAACCATCTTAATAAAGTCATGTCTTCACTCTGGCACAAACTCAAGCTCTCAGACTACAATACAAAATAAAAGCGGATTCACACACACACACACACACACACTAATTAAAGAGTGAACAGATGCCTCTATCGCTCCTCGCTGTCAGACTGAAGCCCACCGCTGAGGAGCAGAAATTAATTAACTAAGCACCGGTGTCACCACCTGTGTCACACACACACACACACACACACACAGAGTAAACAGCACCTCACCGAGCCCTCAAACGCCACCGCTCTGACCTCATGTGCTGCTGATGACATCACTTCCTGTGCACAGGTACTACGGTCTGTCTGTCTGGTTCCCTGACGTCATCAAGCACCTGCAGGCGGATGAATACGCTTCCCGCGTGAAGATCCACAACAACGAGAGAACCGAAGATTTCACCTTTAATTTCACCCTGGAGAACCAGATCCATAAAAACGGAGTGTTTATCAACGACAGGTGAGTCTGAGCGCGAGTACGTCTGCGCTCTCATTCACATAATAATCATATTATTCTCATTCAAATGCTCATATAATGCACTTGTGCTACATTTAATGAACTGAATGTATCTCCTTCTGAGTTTCTTCCATCAAAAATAGCCATAATTTAGTTTCTGATGGCATTTTTCAGCCTCCTTATGGAAGTCATTTAGCTGTTTATGATAGTATGAGCCTTTTAATAAATGTTTTTGTTGTTTAATGTCAAACCCTAACAATGTTAACAGCTATAGTTTTAAATTGAAAAGTTTTTGTCATTTTAATTAGATTTATTTTAAAGTATGTCTATAATGCTTTCATTCATTTAATTCATTAATTTGAGTTATTAATTAGTTGAGCTATTTAAGTTGAACTTAAAAAAGTGATAAATATTACCTTTGATAAATAGCTCAAATAAAATATATTTTAATAATAATAATAATACATTTAATTTGTAAGCGCTTTTCTAAGTACTCAAAGACACTTTACAGAAAATCGTAAGACAGAAGAAACACCATTTTACATTTTTATTTCAGTTAATTTTTATTTTGTTTCATGTAACAAAAATGTTTTAGTTTTAGTTATAAAACGGTTAGTTCCAATCCTTGATTCTGATTGGTCAATAGCTGTGCTTTATTCACGATAAAACACGGCTATGACCGCTTCACCCAACGGTTCTATGTATCACTACACAACACCCCTAGCAACCACTCTTAGCAACTTAAACAGATGTTTCATCTCATTGATATTGTTCATTTAAAGCTAGAGCAGAGCATTGTGAGAGATCGAGTAAGCGAGTGTACCTGCATTTACAGTAGACGTAGCATTTTCCTTCAGGTCAGTCCTATATTCATAATAAAAAAATGCGTTTGAATGTCCGCTGCATATTTTGTCCTTTTAACAGTCATGGGGTTTTCCGTGCATAACGTTAGTCATCTGTCAGTTGCGTCTGTCTTCTCCGTGATCACAAGTTCGAGTCCTTTCAAAAGCCTTCTCTACAGACTCACTCACTCACTCACTCATAAAGACAGTCTTTGCCGCCATCTATTGGCGAAATAATATATGTAACTTCTGTTGCTGTTCACGTTCCGGGACTATTTTTTCCAGCGGAAGGCAGGCTTTTAGTGATTTTACTTCATGAAAGTTGCATAGATACATATTTTTCGGCTTTAATATTTTTATTGTGTGGCAACCGTTTTATAAAAGCAATAAGGTACTCGAGGCAAGTGCTGTATCGTGAATAAGTAACGGCTGAAGGGGTTGCAGGCACTCCGCTTCGCGTCGTGCCTAACAACGCCCTCCAGCCGTTACTTATTCACGATACAGCACAGCCTCTCGTACCTTATTGCTTACTTAACTATTATAGCCCTGGTTTACATGCACATCAATTTTCCAATATGAATTAGAATTTGGCAATTTTCTGTACATTTTTTTGGCAGTATTGAGTCATGAAACACTGCAATCCAGCTGCAATATTCTGATTCCCCATATTCTGATTCCCCATATTCTGATTCCCCATATTCTGATTCCCCATATTCTGATTCTCTATATTCTGATTCCCCATATTCTGATTCCCCATATTCTGATTCCCCATATTCTGATTCCCCATATTCTGATTCTCTATATTCTGATTCCCCATATTCTGATTCCCCATATTCTGATTCCCCATATTCTGATTCCCCATATTCTGATTCTCTATATTCTGATTCCCCATATTCTGATTCCCCATATTCTGATTCCCCATATTCTGATTCCCCATATTCTGATTCCCCATATTCTGATTCTCCATATTCTGATTCCCCATATTCTGATTCCCACCACTGGGATTTGCCTGTTTTAATGAGAAATTGCATGTAAACTTATTCGGAAAATCCAATGAGAGGAAGTATATGCAAATGCTTTGTCTGCAGGGAATTGTGGGAATTGTAAGATTGTTATTTGGCATTGTTTGCCAGATGTTTTCCTTTGGATTTTGCTGTATGAGGATAGTCCTGCTTATTTCGTTAGATGTTGATATGTAAATGTATACGGTCATATGTTAATGAGCTCATGGTTTTAAATAATGTCATAATCATGAAGATTTCCTGAGGTTTTTGCAGTTTAGTTTTAGTAAATGAAGCTTTTAATGGGAAGTTTTGTGTTGTGAATGTTAGAAATCAAACTCTTATTTCAAAAGAGCAAGAAGAATCCCTGGATAAAAACGAGAGTTCACTCCGAGAGCTCGTTCTGTGTCGTCGTCTTCTGTACTTCAGCTCCTCTGTGTGGAAGCAAATCTAGAGCTAAACTACATGTGTTTGCAGAAATAGAGCAGGTTGTGTGTGTGTGTGTGTGTGTGTGTGTGTGTGTGTGTGTGTGTGTGTGTGTGTGTGTGTGTGTGTGTGTGTGTGTGTGTGTGTGTGTGTGTGTGTGTGTGTGTGTGTGTGTGTGTGTGTGTGTGTGTGTGTGTGTGTGTGTGTGTGTGTGTGTGTGTGTGTGTGTGTGTGTGTGTGTGTGTGTGTGTGTGTGTGTGTGTGTGTGTGTGTGTGTGTGTGTGAGAGTTCTCTGCGGTCTGGTCGCTCCCTCATAAATAACGTCCCAGTGTTAAGGCAATGTCTCATCCAGACACAAGGCCAGGAAATTAAAACACCCTTATCTCTCTCCTCTCCTTTTCTCTTTCTGTCCTCTCTGCTCTTTCTCTTTCTTTGTGTTTATTATGACCGTCCACTCCTTCTCTTTCCTGAAGCAGAAGAAGCTCTTATCGTATTGTTGGAGCGTCCAGCTCCTGTGATACACACACACACACACACACACACACACACACACTATATACATACAAACACACACACACACACACACACACACACACACACACACACACACTATATACATACATACACACACACACACACACACACTCACTCACACATACTACATACATACATACATATACACACACACACCCACACATACTCACATACATACACACCCACACACAAACACACACATACTCACATACCCACACACACACTCACTCACACATACACACACACACACATACTCACATACATACACACCCACACACAAAAACACACATACTCACATACACACACACACACATGCACGCACTCTCTCTCTCACACTACACATACACTCTTACACACACAGATTATCACACACTCTTACTCACACACACACACACACACACACACGAATATGATTCATAATGACAGAACTCAATAGATGATAGAAACTGAATGGAGACACATGTGACTTCAGCAAACGTCTCCATCATTTAACCCTGTGCTCTCTAGAGGAACCAGCTGAGATGTGAAAGATCACATGACTGATTCTTGATGTGTAATACTTGTTCTCATTATAAGTGAAGGAGTGATGTGGCCGAGTACTGAGCTCTCCTGTCCTTTATTCCAGGTTTATTGGGATGAAGTTTAAGGCGGTGACTTTCATCGACTCCAGCTTTCAGAGCTGCTACTTTGAGGACGTCAGCTCCGTCGGGTCCGTCTTCAGAAACTGCACCATCATAGACGGGTTCTTCTATAACACAGGTACCAGAGCGCCCAAATATACTCTTCAGGTCTGACAGGTGGTTGAAACAATCATGTTTTGGTGTTAATGTAATTTATCTCAAATATATATATATAAATATTTAAAATATACACTCTATATATTTATTTATCTTAATTACTAATATGATTAAGTATATTAAATGACTTCAATATATAGTATTATATTTAAAATAACACACAATTATAGTTTCAATTATTATTTCAATTATTATAGGTTTTATATTTTAATTGTAATATGTTCTAAAATATTCTGTATATTTATTTATATTTATTAAATATTCTTATTTTATTTTAATACAAAAAAATATTTTAATAAAAAATAGAATTTATAATTAAATTATAAAAATATACATTTATATTTTTAATACAATAATACAAAAATATTACATTATTTATATATATATATATATATGTGTGTGTGTGTTTGTCTATATATATATTTTATGAAAAATATAAATTATATGTATATTTAGTAAATATAAATACATATAGAATATTTATAACATATTAAAATATAAAAGATTTATAAATAATACAAACTATACTTTTATTTTAAATATTGTGTGTGTGTGTGTGTGTGTGTAATATCTATATATAATGAAAAATGTTAAATAGAATTTATAATTAAATTATAAAAATATACATTTATATTTTTAATACAATAATACAAAAATCTTACATTATTTATATATATGTGTGTGTGTGTATATTTTTTATGAAAAATATAAATTATATGTATATTTAGTAAATATAAATACATATAGAATAATTATAACATATTAAAATATAAAAGATTTATAAATAATACAAACTATACTTTTACTTTAAATATTGTGTGTGTGTGTATATATATATTATTTTATGAAAAATATAAATTATATGTATATTTAGTAAATATAAATACATAGCCTATAGAACATTTAGAGTGTGTGTGTGTGTGTGTGTGTGTGTGTGTGTTCGAAAGGCTAGAACTTAATTGTCTAACGATAACTGCGCTCTGATTGGCTGTGCAGTGTGATTGGTTTATAGTACTGTGATCAATGGGGCATGAAACTCAACCCTTGTTCCGTTTTAGCAAAGAAAAAAAAGAAGAGAAAGGGCTCTTCTGTAGTGGATCTGCGGCGCTCCGAGTGAGTTCTGCAGGGATCAGAGATATCTCACTGCTGCTCACGATCCTCCAGAAACCACAGGCTTTGAAGCTCAAATTGATTCTAATTTATATGCATTTGAAGGCAAAAAGACAAGCAGATGCATTAGATGAAAAACAGGATGAAAGATAAAAGCGGAGGGCAGTGATTATATAATGAAGACCTGAAACGGACACAATAAAGGTTCAGTCAATGACATGCATCATCTTTAAATAAGTGTAGCAAAGACGGTATAAACATTTCAGGACATGAGCAGGTAATGCATCTATAGAAGTTCTTCACTACCCATAATCCTGAAGATTGATCCACTGGAAGTTACTGTTACCATAGAAACAGGAATTCTGTATCATTTCAAATTAAAATAAAATTTTGAATTGATTGGTTTGGTATAGAACTCTATTGAAGAATGTTCTGAAAATAATAAAAGTTAAATGTTGTGAGTTAGTTTGAATTGTGGAGTGTGTGTGTGTGTGTGTGTGTGTGTGTGTGTGTGTGTGTGTGTGTGTGTGTGTGTGTGTGTGTGTGTGTGTGTGTGTGTGTGTGTGTGTGTGTGTGTGTGCGAGAGAGAGAGCAGACAGCGATGGGGTCATTTCAGGGTCTGGCTGACTCAGGAAAACCCACCTTACACACACACACACACACACACACAAACTCACACCTCAGCAGAACAAACACAGACACCAGAGAGAGAGACCTGATGCCTCATGGGAAATTGAGTTCATGTCTGTAATGAAATGAAACGAGTGAAGGCGTGAGCTCATGGAGAGATGGAGAAATGCTGCACATGCTCATTCACTAATAGCTTTTCAGAGGCTAAACTCCCTAAAGACACTCCAGTGAGAGAGTGATGGAGTGTGCTTCAAACTGTGACCAGAGGAGGGCACTACATCTATCTATCTATCTATCTATCTATCTATCTATCTATCTATCTATCTATCTATCTATCTATCTATCTATCTATCTCTATCTATCTATCTATCTATCTATCTATCTATCTCTCTATCTATCCATCTATCTCTCTATCTATCTATCTAATCTATCTATCAATCATCTATCTATCTATCTATCAATCATCTATCTAATCCATCTATCAATCATCTATCTATCTATCTATCAAATCTATCAATCATCTATCTATCTAATCTATCTGTCTATCTATCTATCTAATCTATCAATCATCTATCTATCTATCTATCAAATCTATCAATCATCTATCTATCTAATCTATCTGTCTATCTATCTATCTAATCCAGTGTTTCTCAACCTCTCCTGCAGGGACCCCCTGACAGGCCATGTTTCTGTTTTAACCCTGAAATGGCACACCTGATTCAAGTCATTAAAGGCTTAATGAGTAGTTGACTAATTGATTAATTGAACTATTCCTACTGTAATTACTCATTAAGCCTTTAATTACTTGAATCAGGTGTGCCATTTCAGAGTTAAAACAAAAACATGGCCTGTCAGGGGGTCCCTGCAGGAGAGGTTGAGAACCACTGATCTAATCTATCAATCATCTATCTATCTATCTATCTATCTAATCTATCAATCATCTATCTAATCTATCAATCATCTATCTATCTATCTAATCTATCTATCTATCTATCTATCTATCTATCTATCTATCTAATCTATCAATCATCTATCTATCTATCTAATCATCTATCTATCTATCTATCAAATCTATAAATCATCTATCTATCTATCTATCTATCTATCTATCTATCTATCTATCTAATCTATCAATCATCTATCTATCTATCTAATCTATCTATCTCTATCTATCTATCTCTATCTATCTATCAATCATCTATCTATCTATCTATCAAATCTATAAATCATCTATCTATCTATCTATCTATCTATCTATCTATCTAATCTATCTATCTCTATCTATCTATCTCTATCTATCTATCAATCATCTATCTATCTATATCTATCTGTCTATCTATCTATCTATCTATCTATCTATCTAATCAATCATCTATCTAATCTATCAATCATCTATCTATCTATCTCTATCTATCTCTATCTGTCTGTCTATCTATCTGTCTGTCTGTCTATTTGTCTATCTGTCTATCTTATCTATCTGTCTGTCTGTCTGTCTGTCTATTTGTCTATCTGTCTATCTATCTGTCTGTGTAAGTACAAGTTGATCATCTGTCATGTATCTCCTCATCTCTCGTCTGTCTCATCCAGATATCGACGACTCAAAATTCATCGGCTCCTCTGTGATCAACTCCACGTTTGCGCACAACAAGACCGGCTGTCAGATGACGTTTGATGACGACTACAGCGCGTACTGGGTGTATTTCATCAACTTCCTGGGAACGCTGGCCGTGTTGCCAGGCAACATTGTCTCCGCCCTCCTCATGGATAAAGTGGGCCGTTTGAGCATGTTAGGTGATGACATCACCAGTGAACTGCAACACCACCACATTCTAATTTAGATTTTACATTCTAAATTAGGAAAAAAATCGCTTTGAGAACCTAGAAAAGCGCTATATAAATGTAACGAATTATTATTGTTATTCTAAATGTTGTTGTTTGATGTCATGTTGTTGTCTGTGTGTGTGTGTGTGTGTGTGTGTGTGTGTGTGTGTGTGTGTGTGTGTGTGTGTGTGTGTGTGTGTGTTCAGGCGGCTCGATGGTGTTGTCCGGCATCAGTTGTTTCTTCCTGTGGTTCGGCACCAGTGAGTCCATGATGATCGCGATGCTCTGCCTTTATAACGGACTCAGTATATCAGCCTGGAACTCACTGGACGTGGTGACGGCCGAACTCTATCCCACCGACAGGAGGTACACGGACACACTATCACTAATAAACTCAGTCATTCGGGCATGTACTGCGGTCTCATGAGGAAACGCAGCTTTTTAATATAACGTTTTTCTTGTTCCCGAATACAAATATTTTTAAAGTATTTGTTCGAAATAAGTATTCGTAAAAAAACACGTTATTTGTGCCTTTCCGAATACCGTATTCGGGTTCGGCTCCACCCCTACTGCTGATTAAGGGTGTCAATTTTAAAGGGACCGAAAATTAATTCCCAATCTCGAACTTCGAATTAAAAAATGGAATCGTCGATGCTGCCAGCCCTGTGTCACGCCCGGTCGGCGTTGAAAAGCTGCGAGTCTATGGTCAACCTCCTCTAACTTAAATACAGCCATTCAAAAGACAGCACGGCAACTGCAGATGCAGGAGACCCATCGACAGAACTTGAACCCCCTCCTCTTTCATTGAAGTCACAGGTGTGGAAGTTTTTTGGATTTCCAGTGAGTTATGTCAAAGTCCTTTTAGGCAAGTCATGCCACTCGGCCGCCATCTTGGCAACGCCTCCGGGCAGCTATTTCGGACTAACAAGACCAGGCTCCTATCTAAATGAATGGGCAGAGAGTCAGAACTGCAGTTTCACTGGTCACCGGGACATAAAAACTGCATATATAGAAACAGCAGTAAAATATGATAAAAATCGCTGAAAAAGTTTGATGACTTTGCCCCAAAATAAGGTTTAAAACGCCCTTTTCCCCATAGGTTATACTTTTACTACGCATGCGCAAGGGTTCTCTCCCTCTCTCTCGTGCGTGCGCTACACTGTTTGAAGCACAGTATGTGCGGGCTCTTGCTCGCTCGCTCTAGATTCCGGGAGATTTGAACTAATTTGCGGGCATCAGGGAGCCGCTATCAATCTGCGGGAGACTCCCGGAACTTCCGGGATACTTGGGATGTCTGATATTTACACAACTCACACATACACTGCATATCAAATCTGCCGCCTTTTCAGACAGTAACGTATTTTGCGCTGTCGCAAACCTCAACTGTGCGCATGCGTCAGTGGAACCGGACGATAGGCTTAAATGTTTCCCGGCTTGACTGTAAAAAGCAGACGATTGGCTTTCCAGCGGGAGGGGCGGGACATGTGCAGACAACCGCCATCTTTGGCGTTACGGGTTTTCCCTATATAGTTGTATTAAGGATTGAGGAAGTGGCATGTCTCTATATAATAGGGGTGTAACGATATTTGAACCGAACCGAAAAACCGCGATACACCACCCACGATACGTATCGCGATACTCTCATGGCGAACCGAACACGCCCCGCCCCCTGCTGCCCCGCCCAGCCCCGGCTCATTGCACCTCATGTCTTATGTGTACACAACGAATACAGGGCTGTTGCCTAACCACCATTAACCACATATAATCGCAATAAGCTCAGTGTTTTGTTACTTTTGATAATAAGCAAGGTGTAATCTTTCAAATTATGTCTATTTGATCACGAAATGCAAACAATAAATGCCGTTTTGGCGCTCTTAGATGTGGCGTGACGGATATCACTGTATGCATGCGGCAGCGCGGAGCGCGATCATCTCTTCCTCAGTTACAGAATAAACATGAATGGACACCCGAAGGTATGTTGAAAGATACAGTATACTTACTGAAAGGCATCATAACTCGTGTAAACACTCAATCAGTGTTTCAACAGCGGAAATACGTCAATAAAACGCTTAGTTTTCCACATAGCTTTATATTTACCTCAGGCAAGTCATTCAGTGTCCACAGCTTGCTGGTTTGCTAACTCTTTCACTAAATAAATGCTATATATTAGCCTATATATTATATTTTACTTAACCTGTTTATGATATCTTGATTATTTAATGTATGTTTAAAATAGTTGTCATGAAAATAACAGCAACTGTGTAAATTATTATATAACAATAACAAATTAGAGTAAAAACATGTTAATGCAAAAATTGCCTTATGTGCAGTTTACATGTTTTCATACAATTTGTTATTTGAGTGTTGATTATTATTATATCATTTAGGCTAAAAGTATAGGCTCTGTTGTTAAGCTTTAATGTTATAGTAATGTGCAAGTAAGGGCTGTAGTTTACAGCATTAGCAGATCATTTTGTTATCCTTGAGAAACGTTTACTTGTAATTGAATTAATTTAAAGACAAAGACACAATTTGTTCATTAAAGCACTGTTTAATAAAAAATAAAAGCAATTTTAGCTTTCTAAACCCCCCCACCCCACCGAAATGAACCAAACCGAACCGAGACCTCAAAACCGTGGGACGAACCGAACCGTCAGGTTTGTGTATCGTTACACCCCTACTATATAAATAGTCTCTGGTTATGTTGACAACGTTCGTGCTTCAAAAAAGCCACAGTTTACTTTGCAGACATCCCAAGCCTCGTGGAAGTTCCGGGAGTCTCCCGCATATTGATAGCGGCTCTGATGCCCGCAAATTAGTTAAAATCTCCCGGAATCTAGAGCGAGCGAGCAAGAGCACGCATGCGAGACATCTGTGCTCCAAACCGTATAGCGCGCGCACGGGAGAGAGCGAGAGACCTTGCGTATGTGCCTCATGAAGCGCATGTAAGACAGAGAGCATCCTGATTGGCCGGTTTCGGCTTTAAAAAAAATAAATGTAAAAATCGAGAATCGAATCGAACCGTGACCTTAGAATCGAAAATTTGGAGAATCGTGACACCCCTACTGCTGATCTTGCTAATACTGCTGATATTGCTAATACTGCTGATATTGCTAGCTCTGCTAATCTTGCTAATACTATTGCTAGCTCTGCTGATATTGCTAATACTGCTGATATTGCTAGCTCTGCTGATATTGCTAGCTCTGCTAATCTTGTTAATACTATTGCTAGCTCTGCTAATATTGCTAATTCTGCTGATATTGCTAGCTCTGCTAATATTGCTAATACTGCTGATATTGCTAGCTCTGCTAATCTTGCTAATACTATTGCTAGCTCTGCTGATATTGCTAATACTGCTGATATTGCTAGCTCTGCTGATATTGCTAGCTCTGCTAATCTTGTTAATACTATTGCTAGCTCTGCTAATATTGCTAATTCTGCTGATATTGCTAGCTCTGCTAATATTGCTAATTCTGCTGATATTGCTAGCTCTGCTAATATTGCTAATACTGCTGATATTGCTTGCTCTGCTGATATTGCTAATACTGCTGATATTGCTAGCTCTGTTGGTATTGCTAATACTGCTGATATTGCTAGCTCTGCTAATCTTGCTAATGCTGCGGGTCTCTCTGGTCTGCAGAGGAACTGGATTCGGCTTCTGTAATGCCATGTGTAAACTGGCCGCCGTCTTGGGGAATGTAATATTTGGTTCGTTGGTGGGAATCACGAAATCGATCCCGATCCTGTTGGCGTCGACTGTGCTGGTCGGCGGAGGCCTGGTGGGTCTGAGACTACCCGACACCCGCTCCAACGTCCTCATGTGACCCCACTACACCTGTGACCTCTGACCCCTGAGCCGCCACGGAAACACGCTCAGGGTGCAGGAGGAGCCAGCGGCTGTGATGCGTTTGCTTTCTTTATTCATTTAAACTCTGTTGTTTGTTTACTTATAAACGATTATTTATGGATTTATTTTATTGGTTTAGCTTTCGACTTGCCCAGTTTAGATTAAAACTAGATCATGCTGAAATTCAAATCACGAAGTGTCAAAACGACAACGTGTCGATCTGTTTTTAGACTGCGAGTTTGTGAGCTAATCTGGGTTGGAAGAATTATTTCAAATTATTTATTTAGAAAATTCAGCAATTTTGTTATTATTATTTTTTAAATGTTATCTTTATTATTTTAAGCTGAACACAAAAAATTCAGGTGATTTTTTTTTTTTTTTTTTTATCAAAACACTACTTAATTTCCTTGAAATGCTCAAACAAGAGTAAAAAGGCTATTTAGAGATGTAGACATTAGCGATAACAGCTTTTATTGGTAGCGTAGGTCCGAGTCTCCGGTGGCCAGAGGCGGCCTTTGCAATACGGAGGAATAAAATCTTCTCCCGTGGCCTCATGGGATAGTAAAGTGTCCATCATACGCACACTTCAGAACAGGAAGTAGTAGATCATCCGGGTCCTTTTTGCCCACTCCGACATACTTCTTTTGTCACATACTGTTTTCCTCCTACTATATAGTAGGGAAGTATGCGATTTCGGATGCAGCTATTGCCTTAACGAGTTAGTCGTTGAATCATTCAGCCAAACGATTCGTTCAAAAACGGCTGATTCATTCAGGGACAAAGCAGAAGTGAGTGAGTCATTCATTAGAATGATTCGTTTAAAAATGCAGATTCATTCAGAATCTGTTGCTCGTGCAATGGCTATTTTCGTTGGACAATAAACAATAGTGTGTCTAAAATGTAAGTCACCTAATAGCCTATTAACTTATTGTTGATTGAGTTGTTCAATAAAACTCAATATCACATTTGCAAACGTGCTGCTATTCGGGAAAACAGCACTTTTGCTCGTGTGGTATTGCTTAGAAGTATAAAAAAACAGGAAATTAGGAGATTTTTTTGCACCAATTCTTGTTTTTTTGGAAGCATTTTTATTAATTTTGGGGGCATTTTCCAAGTAAAATGTCCTTGTAACTGTTAAACTCCTCCAACACACACACATATCTTCCGCTGGGGTAAACTGCACTGAGCGGATGAATGCGCTTACTCGATCCTCCATGTTTTTTGTTTTGAAAAGTGTCTTATTTACCCAGAATGCATTGCAGTGCAGTCCTACTTAAGATAGTCAGAGTCTTAAGTGCTTTGTGCAACGGTCTGATTTAGACGTCCATCTAAAGTCTGACTATCTACTATATCTAAGCCATAGTCAAAGTCTATCTTTGTGAAACCGGCCCTGGGTTTAAGGGTTAAAGGCGTCTTGATAACCCTAGTCTAGCTGCTACGCTTCCATGTGCGAACTCTTCTTCTGAAAACTGAATGGCCTTTGCTTCCTCTCCGTGCCTCCTTCCTCTTAAATCCCTCCGGTCGGCTTCTCGTAGGTGTAGCGATCCATCGTGCAGCAGAACCGAGTGCGTTTCGAATGCTCTACTGCTTGAATAGGTGAAAAAAAAAAAAAAATCATCACACTCCACTGGAAATTTCACACATGCAATTGTGCAATATGACTAGACGTGATACGGCCGCATCATAGAAAATAATAAAAGCCATTCAGCCTGGTCTGATCTCTTCTGCTGCTGTCTACATGCACTGAAGTACACTAAACAGCAGAAACAAACTCTACACAAGTCAACGCTGAGACCTTTCAGATGGAGAACTAGAGTGGAAGTTTGTTTCTGGCCTAATTTAATGATATTTTGTCGTGTGTATGTCGGGAAAGTTTTGTTTTGAACTTTGCCACGGGCGACAACGTTTGCTGTACACGTCTAAATGTTGTAAAGTGTTGCCTGTTGAGTTAAAACATCATTTTTTCATGGTCAGATGTGTATGCAAACGTCTCCTCATGTGTATGTGTAGATATCTTGTATTTACTGACATTGGTTTCTGTCTATAGGTGTTTATTTGGGCTGGTTGTGTGATTTTCGGGGTGTTATTTGAGCTAACAAGAGGATTTTGTGTAGTTTTGCAGGTGTTCTGGACAAATCCGGTTCGTGAGAGGAATGAATTCAATATAAAGTTGAACTTGATGTTTTTTATATTCTTTTCTGAACAAATTCAAGTGGCCTATCTGACAAATTCCACACAAACAAATGAAACATGATATGTTGTTAATAAATACACCCGTGCATGTGCATATTGAGATTTGTGTTGCGGTGATTTGTCTGTCGTGCTTTCGCCATGAGTTTATTTCTCAGTTTGAAAGACGAATGTATCATTATTGTGAGCGTGTGATGTCGTTCTGAAATGGGTTTTGATTGGTTGTGGATCTGGCATGCCAACGACACGTCTGCCGTCACTGCTGGCCAGATTTCTCTGATATATCTGATTTTATTTTGAAAAGAGAGAGAAAAGTGCCATGTACAGTGTGAACGGAACTGAAGTGGATCCAGATGTACTGCTATTAAAGAGTTTCATTATAAGACTAAAGAGTGTCTGCTTATTTTTTCCTTTAAACAGACCCCAAATTCATTTTTGTGGATTAAAAGTTAGGTTGCATCCTTCATTCTGTCTCAGAGTGGGATATAAGGTGTAATATATCATAAAATATCAAAGATTCTGTATGAACTGATATTTTGGGTGGAGAATAAACTTGGTCCAGTGGTTTAACCTCAATTTTATGAAGTGACAAGAGTGATTTGTTTGCAAAAAAAACATTATCCTCCAACACAGTTCACACAACAACGTCTGCTCTAGCCTCAACACAACACACACATGCCTTGTGGTGCTCTCATGAACATTATGTTGTTTATTTTTTTTAATTGTTTTTTTTTTGTTTTGCATATTACAAAGTATAATCTCAAAATAACTTATAAAACTTAGTCACATGTATTACTTTAATGATGTCTTTACTACCTTTCTAGGTTTGGAAAGTGGTAGTTGTTGCATAGACTGTCAATGGAGGGACAGAAATCTCTCAGATTTCATCAAAAATATCTTCATTTGTGTTCTGAAGATGAATGAAAGTCTTGCAGGTTTGTAAAGACATGAGGTTTAGTCATTTTTGGGGTGAATCATCCCTCTAACGGCAGTATGAACTGACGGCGATATGGACTTTTAATCAGCTAATTAATCCTAGCGAACTATTTTTACTGTTACCGCTATATTTAGTTTTGATGTACGAATGTTATTGAGTATAAGAGGGGAAAACACTTACAGATATGCGGTGGATATTGCTTATGCTCATCTTTGCTCACTCCTTCGAAGGCATCTTGAGTAAAACAGCTCTATTTAACAAAGCTCTACAAAAGCCCTGAACCGGAAACAATGCAACCCGTGCCATTATATTATTTAAAACCTGTTTGAATTGATTAAAAACAAGTGAATGTCAAACACTGCAAAAAAATCGACATACAAGAATAAGGAAAAAAAAAAAAAAAATTAAGAAAAAAATACTAAAATCAAGCAAAATTGGGCCAATGGGGTGAGAAAATTCTACTTGATAAGACATCTTAAACAAGAAAAATAAACTTGTGATAAAAAAGTTCTTAAAATCTTAAAACAAGAAAAAAATTAAGTAAATTTAGATATTTTAACTTGATTCAAGCAGTATAAATATCTTGAAACCAATGCAAAAATAGTAAAATCTAGTATTTTTGTCTTGTTTTATTAGTGGTTAGTTTTAAATACTCTTGGTAAAAATATCTTGATATAAGAATATATATCACATTTTAAGGGTTTCAGGCTTATTTTAAGGGAAAGGTTTGGTTTAAAATATCTTGATTTAAGAATATATATACACATTTTAAGAGTGTCAGGCTTATTTTAAGAGAAAGGTTTGGTTTAAAATATTGTGATATAAGAATATATATCACATTTTAAGAGTGTCAGGCTTATTTTAAGGGAAAGGTTTGGTTTAAAATATCTACCCAGCTGAGGATATAGGGTCTTATTTAGCGAGTCATTTTCAAAAAAAAAAAAGAAGAAAAAAAAGGTATACTCTTTTAACCAAAATTGTTCGTCTTGTGCTGGTCTGTGACGCGCCGGGCATTAGGCCTACATCATCACGTTGGAAAGTTTGTTTTTTTTTTTTTTTTGGAAAATGACTCTTCGATTCGCTAGATAAGACCCATTGATTTGATTTGGACTTCAACATTTTGGTTGCAATTCCATTGATGTTCCATTCAACAATGCCATTGTCCATTGTGTGGAGAAAAATCCTAAAACGTTTTCCTCAAAAAACTTAATTTCTTTTCCACTGAAGAAAGAAAGACATGAACATCTTGGATGGCATTTGAGTGAGTAAATTATCAGGAAATTTTCATTTTGGGGTGAATAATCTTTTAAAATGAAGTTACTGGGTTGGTGTACAAGATATAGACAGTTGTCAGCACCGAAAAAAATGTTATGGTTCAAACTAAATAATGTTTAATTCACTGAATTGGCTTTATCACTCTCTCTCTCCTCTCCACTATAGTTGGTGTGTGGTGAGCGCTGCGCACTGGTGCTGTGGCTGCCGTCGCATCATCCCAGTGGATGCTGCACACTGGTGGTGGTGGAGGAGAGATCCCCTGATATGATTGCAAAGGGCTTTGGGTGTACAGTAGTACATATGAAAGCGCTAAATGCCTCATGCATTCATTCAATGTAAAGTACGAAACAATTAAAAATATATATCTTTGTGTCTGAATATGCTAACATTGTTTTCGAAAAATAAGAAACGTTGTGCTCTTAAAATAAGAAAATATGGCTTGAAATTGGATAGACTGTGTCAAAATATACCATACACTTTAAAAAGATACTTAATTCATTTACAGAAATCACCAGAATTGGCATTTTTTTCTAAGTAAGAAAATTCAAGTTATATTTCCTCAAAACAAGCAAAATAATCTTTTGCTTTTAGTTCTAGGCTAGTTAATTTATCTTAAAAAAAAAAAAAAAGAATTCTTGCCTTATTTTAAGATTTTTTAACTGGGCAAGATTTCATTTTTTTTGCAGTGAAATTGATCTTATTGTGACCTCTAGTGTCGAACGTGGGTGCCTTAAAAATGATCTTGTGGTAATATTAATATAAAAAATATAATATATTATATATTATATTATTGTTGTTATTATTATAATATAATAACAATATATAGGCTACGAATTGTATTACTAATTATTATAAATAATAATTATTTTATTATTATATTTTTAATATATAAAATAAATCGTGTAATAATTGTAATATATAATACAAACACACCTTAAAAGGTTAGGAAAACTTGCTTATTATCACATTTTCATGATGAACACGAGTGATCAGTAAACCTGTTCGACGCTTCGACACTAGATGGCGCACGAGCTCCAAACGTCAGCGCGACACATAAACTCCTCTCAGGTCCAGAAGTTGTGTGTATCTGTTCTTGATATGTGGTGTTTGATTCGGGAATGACATGCAGCTTTGAATCTGTTTGTCTGTGACTGACTCGAGGACAGTTTAATCCTGCTGGAATGCTCGAGTGAAACTAGACACTCACCAGCCCGCCTGTCCCTGTCTCAGTTTTCACCCTCGCTGTCTTTGAGTTTATCCCTATGGTTTATCCCCGCTTAAAAACAGTTCACATCATCCTCAATGTGCAGTAGCCTATTATTATTATTATTATTATTAATATATCACATTAAACATAACCATACATTTTATTTAATAAAATAAATAATATGCTAAATAAAATAGCAATTATTAATATCAATTTCAATCAGAGTTCTATCTGCTAATAATTATATAACTATTTTAAAAAACCATTAATACTACTGAACCATTCTGAGCTCTTACTCAGTTCGGGTTAAGCTTTGGAAAGCCTTGACATTGTGAGTGCTGTTATAGTGTAAAACACGGCTTTACGAGATCATCCGAACTGCAGCTGCAATGGAAAGGAGTGAGGGTGTTTAATATTTTGCACGCACACACTATCTGCTGAACAGCTGTTTCATATCATAGCTATATGAACTGACCAATCAGCAGGACTGCAACTATCGGCTTTGTAATGTTTAAAATGATTGCATTCTGTGTAAGAGATGTAGGCCTACTGTACACCGAAGTCATGTGCCAGGAAGTCATATTTACATAATCATATATGCCCTCTGATAAGGATTATTGCTTTTAATGCTGGGAAATAGCAGGATATTCAAAATGTCACATTTGAATTGCACAATTTGCATTATGAGTACAAAGGGAAATGACAAATTGCACATATAAAAAAAAAACTCTTTGTAAGATAAAAATGTTTAATTCTTCAAAACCACACCATCGATGGCAGAGTTTCTGTATATCAAACTAGTTCGACTTTATTCATACAGGCCATGAACTCAGATCAGATCTCCTGTAATTACTCTTGTGGGAGAAGAGGAAGCAAAACAACACATCTGTGCAATTATCCGTCATATCAGCGTCCTCAGAGAACGATCCCGGGGTTAAGCCACCAGCAGCTGCTGCGTTCAGGAATAACAGAGGGAACCTGCTGCTGCTTCACTTGTGCTTCAGCTTCAGTGTCAGGAAGCTTTAGCTTGCCGTTAAACTGGTCAAATGGTTTTGCAGTGCAGGAATGCCACAGTTTACTGGTTAACATTACAACATGCATAGTCTCCATCCGCAGGACAAATAGGGCCCATATAATGTATTCTAGAGAAATGAATTACTGGGTTTTGCTAAGGGGGGGGAAAGCACAACTGACATTGCTAATAGTGATCTGAACAAACCTCTAACCTCCAACTTTTTAAAGACCGCAAGAAACCACCTAGAACACTCTGGCAACCACTCAAAGCAACCATATAGCAAATCCCTGGCAACCACCTAGATCACCCTAACAACCATATAGCAAAGCCCTGGCAACCACCTAGATCATCCTAACAACCATATAGCAAAGCCCTGGCAACCACCTAGATCATCCTAACAACCATATAGCAAAGCCCTGGCAACCACCTAGATCACCCTAACAACCATATAGCAAATCTCTGGCAACCACCTAGCATCCCCCCTGCACTATCAACCACATAGCAAATCCCTGGCAACCTCGCTGTCCTAGCAACTACATACCAATTGCCTTGGCAATCACATAAAGCAGTACTGTATCCACATAGCAACTCCCCGTCAACCCCCCAGAACACCCTAGCAACCACATAGTAACTCCATACATGCTCAACCGTATGGTATCTTCTTGGCAACCACCCAGAACACCCTAGCAACCACATAGCAACTCCAAGCCCAAGCAAATGCATAGCAACTCCCTGGCAACCACCTAGACTAACAATTCAAACACATAGCAACTACTTAGATCACCCTAACGACCATATAGCAAATTCCTGGCAACCACCTGTCAACCTCCCTGCCCTAGCAACCACATAGCAACTCCCTGCCAATCACCTAGAGCACTGTAGCAACCACATAGCAACTCCCTGACAACAACCCAGAACACCCTAGCAACACCCGGGCAGCCTCCTAGCGTACCCTAGCAACCACATACAGTATCAACTCTTTTGGCAACCACCTAGAACACCCTAGCAACCATAAAGAAGCGGTGTGGTAACCTCCTAGACAAGCACAGCTCACATTTTCTTCAGAAACTGTTCATATCTAGTTGACATCAGGATTCCTGTATGTTGTACTTCATATCTATACAGTGCAGATCTGATCATACATTGTTACTCAGAGATGCCTCACATTCCCAGGCCTTACACAGGTGTCTTTGACATACTGAACTCAGCTCATGCATGTTTACGCTCATTCTTCACGAGTGCAGCAGCGTTACATGCAGCACTCAGAGCGTGACGTACAGGGTCACACGCAACAGAGCGATTCGCTGCTCGTTTGCCACTGTTATCTGTGTAAGGAGTGTCATTACATCAGATCTCTTCTTTTAAAATTCCTCCAGATCCCTAGATAACAGATAAAGCAGTTTAAAGGGTCCTTCTGTGAAAACAACACGTAAAAACAGATGGAAACTGTTTGCACGGCTCATCAAAGTTAAATATCCAGAGCCGCTGGCCTGAAACAATGAAACTGGTGCACACAAGCAACTTTATTGACTATATTCCTTTTTTTAAAAATAATGTGAATAATGAATAAACGCAGTTTGTTTCTGTCGTTCTTTTGCCTGGTAATGAAAGACAACACTTGCTCTGTCCTCCACACTCCTGTTTTGATTCACTCCTCCATGAGCTGAAAATGTCACATAACCTTTGACCTTTTGACAAGGGGCCTTTCATTTCTTTCTTGCAGCTTGCTAGTGGCGAAAGAAATGTTTCTTTTTCCGCTTTTTATTTCTTATAAACATCCACTGTGATGTCACGGCCCATAATTTGAGACACAGAGCCCATAAACGGAGAAACTGTCCAGGATTAAAGCAAATCTAGTTTCCAGTGTAACACGTATCCTCACATACTGAGCTTATGTAACACTATGACCGCTGTTCAGCCAAAGACAACACTTTTAAATGCTTGTTACATAAACACAATGACTCCATAGGTGCAATAACTCTGTGGCCTGGTTTCACAGACAGGGCTTAGATAAAGCCACGATTAGGTTTAGTTCAATTAAGATATTTCAGTAGCTTTTATAAACATGCCTTAGAAAAAAAACATTACTGTTTTGAGGCTGTGTCTGAAATCGCCCCCTATACTCTTAAATAGGGAGTTATTTGAGGGGACAGCCATTTGTAGTGGTGTACGAAACCATAGTGGACGTTATCGAATGATCTCATTCAATCCCATAATGCACCGCGTCAGCCGTTCCGGCGTACTCGGTGTCCGAATTCACTTACTCGTTTTCTTTCATTCCATCAAGGGGACTATATTAGTGGAGTAATGTAGGGAATAGTGAATGAGGGTAGGCCTATAGGGGGGAGATTTCAAACACACATGAGTCATTGAATCATTCACTAAACCAAGTCATTAAAAAATGCTGATTCATTCGGTAACAAAACAATTGACTTGCTGTTTTTGACAGCATCATCCACTATACACTCATTCACTATTCTCTACATTGCTCCTCTTATCCACACGGGATTTCATTTGGCACAACCGTCACAGTGCATTATGGGTATTCTCTAGCCATTGAGCGTACATCGGTTGTACACTCGTTATTGCGGTGCATTGTGGGATTGAAAAAGTACACTCGATAATGTCACTACAAATGGCCTTACACCACTACAAATGGCTGTTCCCTCAAATAGTGCCCTATTTAAGGGTATAGGGGGCGATTTCAGACACAGCCACTGCCTTTAAGAATGAGTCATTGAATCATTCACTCAATTGATTTGTGTAAAAACACTGAATCATTCATGAGCGAAACACCACTACTGAAGTGTGATGTTCGGTTTAATCATCCATCAACTTCCCAGAAACTGCCCAAGCTGTTGTTGCAAGTTCTAACATATAGGCTAGCCTATGTTATTTACCACATGTAACCATTTTCACTAACAGTTAAAAGTATTTTATATTATTATTTGATATGGTATCAAGAAATAAGGTTTACATATGTATTATATCACATGCTATATCACATAAAATGATTTGTTGTATCATTGAGTAATTTAGTTTTTCTAAAAACATAAAATCTATTTTTTTTTAACCACAGCTGGGTTAAATGAAAAAATGTTTTAAATCAAACATTTATCAAATAAAAATAAAATTGAAAAACATTAAAACGTATATTAACAAAAAAAAATTAATATACTTTTAATTAATATAAAATTAAAAAAATTGGTCGTTTATAAGCGTCTCAGGATAGTTGATCGCTCTCTCTCTCTCTCTCTCTCTCTCTCTCTCTCTCTCTCTCTCTCTCTCTCTCTCTCTCTCTCTCTCTCTCTCTCTCTCTCTCTCTCTCTCTCTCTCTCTCTCTCTCTCTCTCTCTCTCTCTCTCTCTCTCTCTCTCTCTCTCTCTCTCTCTCTCTCTCTCTCTCTCACACACACACGAACACAAACATTGCTGAGAGGGAGAAGCGCGTCAGGTCACGGCATCAGCTCTCACAAACTCTTTAAACTTTAAACGTTTAACCCGCGCGCGGAGGACCGGAACCCTTCCTTCTTCACGCGCCCGGGTGAGTGTCTGTGCGGGATTCAGTCGCAGTGTGTGTGTTCAGGTTTTGAGGATTGTTGTTCTCCGGTTTCTATGGACTCTGGTCTCGAGAGGATTTAGGACTTTGAGCTGCACTTGTTCCTCCGCGGCTGGATCATTTACAGCAGGTTTCTTCCTCCTCTATACGACAAAACACTTCAGTTTCACCGTATATCGCTGTTTGTTCGCGTTAGTGGCGGGTTAGTTTAGTGTTTCTTTGTATTTGGTTCAGAAACAACCGAACAAAAGGAAAGTATTTGCTCTTTTTAAAATATCAAATGCTCATTGGCTGACAGCGACTCTGTCGTCTTCTGTCGCTCCCTTTTAATTGTTTGTTGAAGTTAAGTCAAACTAACTGGGTTAACCTGCACGTTTACTACTGTTTAGTTTAGTTGTGTGTGTTTTTTTTATGTTAGTCTAGCATTTTAGGGTCATGTGGAGGTCTGCAATCAAACTCGCATAAATTATCCCAGACTTTTCATCTAAACAACAAAAGAGTCTTCTAGCTCAAATGAGACCACTACAGATTTTTTTTCTTTGTGCTTTTTTAGTTGAGAACTAGTCAGGTTGTGTTTAGTTGTACAAACTTCCTATGTAAGCAAGGCAAATGTATTTGGTGACGACATGAGCATCATTTTGAACATCAAACTGTAGGTTAAAGTTTATATAAATGTGTGAGGTGAAGTTTTAATCACCCTTTTGTTGTTTTGTGATATGCATAGAAATAAAAGTAATATAAGTAGTACAATTTTACATGATATGAGTTTATAATAGCGTGTAGTTGTTTAAACATTAAAGCATGTCAGTGCTTGACTATATGCAGTATTTTTCGGCACAGTTAATGTATCTTTGTCAGTTTGTTTCTGTTGCTTGTGCCTCATTTTTAACCTTCATAAATCTTCATCTAGTTTTTTAAAACATGTTTGGAGACTCTTTCATGTCTCTCAGAGCAGGTGCCCGAAGGCTGTCTAAAATAGAAGCAAGGTAAAGTGTCTGGTAAGTGGAAGGATATAGCCTGACGTGAATTGTTGGCTGTTAGCGGAGGGTTATCATTAAATGCCTTTGTGTCCATGACCTCTTGACCCCTAACGCCTAAAAACTGACCCTTGAATTGATCGATTTTATTCTTTGCTTCAGGGACTACTTGGTCTTTTGCTGTAAAACGTGTTGAAATTTAATAAACAAAAGCACATGATAATGTTATTAAAAGATAAAAAGGATTCTTATTGCTAGAACTAGCCTAAATCTTAAGTTTAGTATCACGCGAAATTTTGCTGATTTGTTTTCCCATCAATATAGAGTTGGGCTATGTTCAGAATAGCATACGCTACTTCTTGTACTTGTGTTTTTGCATTTTACATTTATTAATTTAGCAGTATTTATACAGTATGCATGTAAATTATTTCCAGATCACCTACACCATGTGATTGGATTATTTGACAGAATTATAAATTCTGTTGGATATATAAGTATGTCTAACTTTATCTGCATACATATAGTATACCGGTATACTCACATATGGTAATATTAGCCTATATATAGCAAGATCACAACTGTTTGATTGTGTGTATCATCACAAAATGTAACTATATTGTCGCCCCCAGCTTAAATCTGCTAAATGCAACTAGGCATGAAAATATTAATATTAACAACAACAACAACATCAGGATTTTCTATAAAGCTGCTTTGAAACAATGTCATGAGGTCATGTGACAACAATGTAGCATACTATTATTTGAAATGCCTGTGTGCTGATTCACATACTACTTTTTAAAAATAGTAGGCCGTGTTTGTATACATAGTGCAGTAAGCTAGGATTTTATTCTGAATATAGCCTTGATCTTTATATGTGCTGTAATAATTAGAGCAGATGCCATTACTCGCCGGGTTCAATGATGTTAAATTAGTCCCTCGGGACATTTTTAATGAGGAAATGATCTTATGAGTGGGTCATATACCATATGTTAATCTGGACATGGATTATGTCGATAGTCCAGCCAGACAATGACCCTCCTTCATGGGTGAACACGATAGAATCATGTAACCCAGATGAGTTGGCGCCGGGTCAGACCGGTACCCAATATCCCTGTGAACCGAACACCAGTGGCCCGTCGATAAACAGAACCGGCCTTTCAGAACAAAACCTGTGAGATTCAGACCTATTTACTGACTGATTTACATTCAAGTGTTGTTTTAAAGGGATAGTTCACCATTTCAATGATGAATTTTCATTTTTGGGTGAACGGGCCCTTTAATGATTTGAATTTGGACAGATAGATTCATCCTGAAGTAAAAATCAATGCAGCGATTGACCACCTTTAGATACCTTCTGACTCTCATTAGTAAGCTAGTGAAATGCGACCTGATCCAAACCCTACATCGATGCCCTAACCGGTCTCCGACCCCGTTTTAATGATCCGTCCACATTGTGGATGCTGAAAAAGACTCGTCCACGGCACATAATGTTCCTTCACTCTAAGAAACCGCACAAAAGTGCCACTCTTGAGTTTGTGAGCCGAACACAGTCGTGCTTTGTGTCCCTCTGCCAAAATCCCTCCATCTCAGAGGAGTGTGGAGAGAAGGATCTGGCCTGATAGGAGGACGCCCTTATTCTGTTACCTTTCTGGATACTAATTACCCCTCTAATCTGACCACAGGCTAGTTTATGCTGCCCCCGACACCTGCACAGGTCTCAGAGCAGTCACAGGGTTTCTTCAGATAGCTGCTGTTTGCAGTTCTCTTCTTGAAAACACACAGTGATAACTAAGCAATGCTTGGTAATCGATAACAGGTCTGAATAATAATGAGGCCAGTGAGAGCGTTATGGTCCAATACTGTGTTGTCACTTATCTTACCTTAATTGTCATGCACATGCATTTTTATGCCTTGCAAAATTAAATAATTAGTTTTGTATAACGTATTGAGTGTTGTTGTGGGGAGCAGTGCTATTTTAGCATTGTTTATATACTATTATAATGTATGTTCATATTTTGAATTCGCTTGTATTTTTATATTTTCAGGTTTCGAATTTAATTTTAGTAATTTTTTATGTGCTTTTGTCGTTTTATTAGTTTTAGGGATGCAAAATATATCGGCCACCATATCGGTGTCGGCCGATATATGATCAGTTTTAATATTATCGTTATCGGTCCGATAAGAAAATTTGTCCAATATATTAAAGCTGATAAATAATGTAATATTTCCTTCAGCTGAGACACTTCAGATGCACTGTTCAACGTGATGGTTTTAAATTGCTTGAAATGTGAATCACTTCAAAAGGAAAATGCAGTTATGTCTGTCAAATCGGCTGCATTGCAATCAGTCTCTCAAAAATTATATACAAATTTGGATTTAGATTTATCAGCCAATATATTGGTTATCAGCTTTCAAATAGAAAGAGTTATAATTTTTTTATATCGGTGCATCCCTAAAAAAATAACAATGATTTATTTCAGCTTCAGTGATGATGTTTTAGTACTTTAACTTAGACTTTTTATTTCAGTTATCTGCCAAGATAACATTTCTCATTTTTGTTTGAAAATATTTTCAAGTATGTTTATACATGGATATCATGAAGTTACACTACTGTACATAACTTGCAGCTATTATTGCAAAATGTAAGTTCACTGTAAAATAAAAGGTTGTGTTTAAAGAACAAAAAAACTGCCAGGTGTGGTTGCCAGAATAATTCTGTAAAAATATATTAAAAATGTAAACATATTTACAGAACAACATGTAGATTTTACAGTTTAAAACTGTAATTTACACACACAAAAAACCCAAAAACATTTTAAACCGGTAAATCCAACAGCATATGTACAACTGATAACAAAAAAAACTAAGAAGAAACATAATAAATACAATTAAAAATCATCAAATGTGAAATGCCACAGAGGCAACTCGGTATATGGCTTTTTACTGTAAAATATAAGATGATTTGTTCGTTATGCTTAAATGTTTTTTTTTTTTTTTAAATAGTATTTTACTGTAAAATTACACTAAATGTAAGGTCAGATCCATTTTAGTACTAAATAAATGTTTTCTGTGGGAATATATGTTAAAAATGTAATTTATTCCTGTGATCAAAGCTGTATTTTCAGCATTATTACTCCAGTCTTCAGTGTCACATGATCCTACAGAAATCACTCTAATATGCTGAACATTTCTTCAATGTTAAACAGTTGTGCTTCTTCGTATTTTTTGGATGAATAGAAAGTTCAAAAGAACAGAATTTATTTGAAATGGAATCTTTTGTGACACTATTTACTGTCAATGGGTCTCATTCATGAAACACGAGCAGAACGAATTTTTGTGTAAATCGTGTGTAAAGTGGTTCTGGCGTAAATTTTCGGATTCATTCAAATGTTCGTATTTTCCAAATGTTAGTTGGTACACAAGAAATCTACACCTGCTCCCAGCCACGCGTAAATAGTGCGCTTAACACCCGAACGCTTTGCTCATTAATAAGGCTGCATTTTAATTCACCTTAATCGGGTACATATTTGCACAGCATTTTGAAAAAATATTATATATAGTAATTACATACGGTTTTTCTTATTATGAGAGCCAGTAATAGCATCTGCGATGGTGGTCCTTCTCCAGTTTGAATGCTATTTTTCCGAAGTGAACTAATTCGTTTTTTTGCTCTCAAGCTTAATGTCGAACCATTTTCTTCTCACTTCTGGGAATGTTCGATTAACAGATGAAACTCCATTAACTGCATCTGTAATATGCTGCCAAGCTTCCTTTTTTTAGGACCCGATACACCACTATGTACACTTGAAAATAAAATGTGGCGTTTTGAATGAACTTCTGACAATAAAACTTCAATTTCTGCATCTGAATTTTTTTTTTTTTTTTTTTTGCATTCATGTCATAATATGATGCCCATATATAGTTGTCCGTCGGATTTAATGGCCGGGATTATGGTAATTGAGAATGAGCGTGCACGCGCATCCCATTTACGACTGATTGGAATTCATT